AGCCTGTGGCCCAGGCTCTGAGGTCTGACTGACCCTCCTTGCCCATACACAGAGCTGGGCAGGAGGCTCTCCAGGCAGCCGTTTCTCTCCAGCTGAAGTGCAGCCAGTCAGGAAGACATTGGTTGAAATCAAACCAAACTGTGACTAAAATAAATCGAGTTCAGAGACAACCTCTTTGTATTGCTGTAGAAAAAAAGCTGAACTTCACAGTGGAAGAGCTTCCTTTATAGGCTGGAAAGCTTTGGGCTGTTTTTTGGGGTTTTGCTGGGTTTTTTCTTTTTGTGTTTTTTTTTTTTTAATTATTATTATTTTTACTTGAACATTCTGAGTCAAATAATTTCATGGGAGCAAAACTGCAAATTTTGCCGAAGTTCAACAAAAAGCCATGAAATAACTTCTTTTAAATGGTTTTAATATCAAAGCCTTAATGAGATGCTGGGTTTTCTGTTTTGCTTTTAATTATTATTACAACAAGGAGTCCCAGGGGCCGGGATGGGGGAGACCCCCCTGAACTTGCTGCGGGAGCAGCTCCCTCCAAATCTTCCTTTCGTCGGGCCCTGAGGCGCGGCGCTGGGCTCTGCGGAGCAAGGGCGCCACTTGGTGCCCACTGTTGGAACTGCAGGAGGAGCCTCCCGGAGGGTTTCAACCCTGAGGTGCCGGCTTTTTTCCCTCTCTGCATTGCCTCCGCTTCCCTGAAGGAACCACAAACCTAAATCCAGCCTCCTCCCTGGTTGTGATGGGGTTGCTTTCACTCCGTCCAGAATTAGCCCAGTGGGATGTAGCCCACTGCTCTGGAGACCATGGGTACCAGGTGGATGCTGAAAGCATCCAAGGCCCTGGGTGCCTCATTGCTCCCTTGGTACCAGTCTCATGTGCCTGAGGATCATGGTCAGCTTCTTCCAAGAAAATAGGCAGTGGGAGAGGATGGCTGGACATTGCTAAAACCAGAGTGCCTGCAGGAACAGTCTCTACTTAGGTTATGGAGTGGCTCTGGGATGACTAAGAGACACTGAGCAACACCAAGACGCCTAATTTCTGAGATTCAAACACGTGTTTCTTCAGTCTGGTAAAACCAGTGAAGAGCTGATTTGCAGGAAAATGTGCTTTCTCACACCACTTAACAAAGAGCAGCACCAAAGTCAAGGATGGTGCTGCTCATTGTCGGTACCTACAAAAAGGAGCCTACCCAGGTCCCACACTCACATTGACTATAGATCTCACCCAAAATTTTCAGCACTTCTTCACACTCCTGCTCCAGCAGTTGAGCCTCACTTCTGACCAGTTTTAGACATGCTGGAGACACAGCACTCCGTTTCACCTCTCGACTAATTCATTAGAGAACAAGATACCCATTTTGCAAGGCACAGCCTTTCTGCTCAAATGCACCTGTTGCTGGTTGGATGGGAGAATCACCTAAGCCAGGCAGAGCCCTGGCTGACTGCAGAAAGAGATCCCGATGAGATCAGCCTGGCCAGCTGGGAGGGGAGCTCCTGCTCCACGCCTGGCACTTCAGAAAGTCTTTTGCAGAAAGTGACACTCTTATTTAGCACAGTGTTTTACTCATCACCATAGCAAAGGCCAAGCAAATACCAGTCTCCCTAGAAACTGTGGGTGTCAGGGCACGTTGACTTGAGAGGAAGGAGGGGATCCCACATGGGACAGGCCTGGGTGCAGAATGGTGTGTGTTGCAGGCAAGGAGAGGGGACAGAACAAGTGCCAGGCACACAGGGACCATGGTGGTTGGAGTGGAACAGGGACCCCCCAGGAGAGACTCCCACAGCCATTGTCTGGTATTACTCGGTGCAACAGCAAAGACTACCTTGGGACAGAGGCTTCCAAGTCACTGTGGTTGGGTGGCTTAGTAAGGGCACAGACTCACTGAGTGCAGCTGCTCACCAGCAGCTCAACAGCTGCAGCCTGGCTGAGATGATGCAGAGCAGCTGGTACCCAAGGGCTGGACTTGCCACTGCTGAGGCACACCTCATTTTGCATACAGAGTTCCCCAAAAAGCAGGCAAATGCCAGCAGGGGCCTTTGAACTTCCTCTCCAGGGCTCCTGCATGTTGTCAGCTTTCAGATCTTGTCTTTAAGACACTGCAAAGCCTGTAGTGTCTTTAAGACACTACAAATACTCCTCCCTGTGGAGTATGTGTGTTGAGGAGAACAGTGTAAGCTAAGCAGCCCACCTGGCCAGGTGGATATATGTGTGTGGGGGGATGATGCTCTGATGCTGTCACTTGCTCCTCTGGGTATTAATCACCTCTAAGTGCTGCTCACAGGCTGTAGTGCAGCTACTTGAGGTGGCTGAAGGATACTTTGCTCCCTCACCTGTACCAGGGCTATGAAAATGGGGGGCATTTCTCCTCCTCAGGTACCTCTATTTCTGGTCCAGTGTGATGAGATACACTGAAACCTACAATGCAGGTTTTTGTGGGAGGTGGCTCCTGTCACTTGGACTGGATACACCATCTGTACCTTTCCCATAGAACCATGAACGCTTGGGCAAACAGTTGCCATGTCTGAAATTTAGCCTTGTGATTCTGTTCCCTGGGGAGGAGATCCAATTAAAGTGATGCCCTGGTGACAGGAGCCTGCAGAGAGAGGGTGCACAAGGCTGTGCAGCCTCCCCAAAAGTCCCAGTTACTCAGCAAAGCCTGAGTTACCACTTGACACTGCTCTTTGTTGGATATTGGAATAGAGAGGGGACAGATACAGCAAAGGGGACACTGAGGGAGAGATACAGGGGTGTCTGCCAGTGATCCATCACTCACATGGAGCAGTCCAGACGGAATACGGCTCTTCCAGCACCTGCTTCAGAAAAGGCTGGGGGGTGCAAACAATGCCCCATGCTTACAAGGGACTTACAAAGTGTCATGGGTTCTGATCCCATGCAGCTGCCTCCTGCCACCCCAGGACACCAGTGCTTGCTTTTTTGGTTCATGATCAGCCTGCAAGGACCATGACCAAAAGGCATGGGAACTGGGCATGCTCCCCAACACTTCTGCTTCCAGAGCCTGAGGGAGGACACAACCCAGCAGCAGCCCCACCAGCTGACAGTGTGCTCCCCGCTGCTGACAGCTAGTTCCTGGCATCTGCTGCCCCAGCTGAAGGAGGGGGACTCATTTACCACCCCAGTGCCACACACAGCAAGGGCTACATGGCTCGTGGGGAGGGGGGTGAATCCCTCCCAGAGAAGCACCTTGTTTAGGGAGAGTAGTATCAGCACCAGCTGCCAGAAAGAGCTTTTTTGGCAAATGAGGGAGCATCTGAGAGATGAAGCCAGCAAAGTCCTTCCCTGGACCAGGATGTGGTACCACTGTGCCTAAAGGGTTTGCTGCATTCTTTGTGCCCACCCCTGGCCAGGCAAGTGAAGCCCCTGAAGCCCTGGCAAGCCCATGGGATGGTGACCCTGAAAGCCCTAGGTCCGAGTGGTGCCTCTTCTCTTCTTTGCCCTTTTCCCATGACATCCATGACCTGAAGTTCAGCTGTGTTTATCCCACCTCCTGATAATCCTGGCTGCTTTCATAACCCAGGTGTGCTCTGTGCCAACCCTTTTCCAGTGTGTACGTTTCTGGTGCTCTGGTCTCCTCAAACAGGGAGAGGAGGAACTAGAAACCAGAGGGCCCTGAAGGCAGTGGACTTACAGCCCCAACACCAAGGGAGCCCTTTGCAGGAGAGAGAGTAGGGACAGGCCCTTACTGGATTTTAATAAAAAACAATGTAAGGATGAGGCAGTCTTCCTGCCTCCTCCACTCACTTGCTCTTTTTGGGTCCAGCCTCTCTGGCCCCACCAGTTTAGGGTTTACCTGCGACATGTGTTTGTGTGGCTGAGTGGCTGAGTGGCTGATTCAGTTTAAACTCAATCTTAAGAAAAGATGAAACTCCTGCTTTCTCAAAAGACTCTCTTGAGGTGTGAGAAACCTGCAGAGCAGCATCACCCCTTTTCTGCCAGCACCAGCTTCCACAGAAAGTTTAAATCAGTGCTCACCCAAAGCTGCCTTGATATTGAACAAGTGCAAAATAACTCCGGGCAGATTGTTATCTGTATCATTACAGAGGTTTAAAAAAAATACTCTAAAAAGCACTGTAAATCTGTGGAAGGAGATTTTTGCTCTCTGCTGAACAGCCTGCACAGTAACAACCAAGTAATCAAGAAAATTGCCACGCCCTGGATTGATGGGAGTGCATATGGTGTCCCTCATCCCCCCTACTTTTGCTGCCTCTAGGGCCAAAAGGGTGCATTTGAGAGGCACTTTCTTGCCTGTGGCCATCAGTGAAGGAGTTGACCACTGTCTGGGATGTGGAAAACGCACACAGTAAAAGCATGCTATGCTCTCACTTCTCCTGTGCTCCCTTTGTTCCACTGGACTCCACAAAATAAGGGAAGCTGGCTCTGTTCTAACACATTTTCAGCTCCTCCTGGGACATACTCTAGCTACATTTAAGCCATCAGTGGCACGACATCAGCTTGGAAGACTAACTTCTTGAAAGTCTAGTATGGGCTGAAGCGCATCCTTCCTGCCTTCAGTTTGCAAGCCAACAACTTGCACATGGCTTCAGGTAACACTTTGCCAATCTGTTTCCCAATGTTACATTAGTATCCTTGAGTTTTCTCTCCCATCCTCTGGGTTATATGTGAGGGACTCTGTAGGTGTGGAGGGGAAAGAAGGAGGAGAGGGTAAGCATCATTTCCACCTCAAATTTACTAGATAAAGGCAAGATGTCCTGTGATGTGTTTCAAACCAATGCCTAGGAGGGCTCTTTACATTGCCAAGAGCTTCTTAAGACCCAAATGTCTCTACATTGCCCTTCACTGCTGGTAGGCAGAGTGGGTAGGGCCCAGCCTGGCCTATTCTAGGCAGCACTGAGACCGAGAAGGGGGGTTTGCTTGCCAGGAGCATATGGATATGTGGTAGCACATCATACCATGCAAAAATTCATGGGAGAGGAAGCCTCTAAAATGGAAGATTACAGCCTCATACCATCAGGAATTAAAAAAAAAAAAATTATTACTATTAACATCTTCATACTCATGATTATTTTGCTTTGATATTGTTTCTACTTTCAAATTAAAATATTACATGTCTTCAGAACATTGGAAAGACAGATTTTTGCCAGCTGAATTAAATACCTACAAGCTCCTCGCCTGTTCTTGATTATGCAAGAACCCAGAACGATACAAGTAAATAAATACTGGAATGTAGATGCAGCAGACACAGATACAGGATGAAAAGGTCCTATCTCTCCTCCTGCATTTGCTGCTTGGCCTCATATTTCTTAAACACTTAAAACATCGAATCAGCTTGCTTCATTCAAGAAAAGTAGCACAGAGAAGCTATAACCGTCTTCTGCACCCTCAAGCAGCTGATCTCTTACCCAGAGCAACACAACTTTGAAGAAGCCAGCATCTCTGCCATTCTCCCCTGAGCTACAGTCTCCCAGGTGACCCACTCCAACCCATGGAGAGCTGTTGCTGCCACTCCACCAGCCATTAGAGGAATCAACTACATCCCTGAGAGGAGCACCAGTCTCTCGTAGTCAGGCTCCCTGGCTTTTTATTAATTAAATATTCCATGTACAAAGTACTAAATAAATATACAGCTGTGTCAGACACCTGTGTATCATACACACCCACTTGGACAGCTCTATGCATTGCTTTATGAAATATCATGGAAAGCTATTTACCAAATGCAAAGCAGGCTACAGAATGATTCAACTCTGCAGACTTGTTGCTCATCACCAGGGTGCAGTCCACACAGCACGTACAGACACACAGACACACACACACACACACGTTCACTCACTCCTGGAACAGGGGCATCCACCTTCCTTAAGCTGGCTGCTTGGGAAATGTTTGTGTTAATGCCACAGACACGCTCCGGAGCAAGCAGAGCTCCAAGGTGCATGTGATTAAATGCCACCAGGGCATTGGAAGCAGCTGCACAGAACAGGTTTTGTTTGCAGGGATCCACAGTCAGGGGTTGTAGGGGTGGGGAAGGAGGATTTGCAGGTTGGAACAGGCACCTTGGGGTGCTTGGTCAGGAGCCTGAGCTAGGAGGGTGGCTGATGCTACAGTGAAAATCAGAAAACATATCAAAGTAAATAGGGGTAGATGTTTTCATGTCTTTAGATTTTCTCTCCCCTCTTCACTCCAGGTGGTCCCCAGGTGATGAGGAAGGGGCTGAAAGTGAATATGAAGAATTAAAAAAGAATACTCTTCCCAGCCCCCCGTCTCTTCCCTGCTGTCTGGAGGAAGGCCAGGAAAGGATGGGAGTAAGCACAAAAGAAATGGTGTATTGATAAGGGTGTTCTTGGTAGTACTGGAGATGTGTTCATGCAGGAGTGGGGCTGATGCTTCTGTTCCTTCCTCTTCTTCCGTCACACACAGGGCGCAGGCATACCCACAAGCTATCAAAGCAAGTCCTGGCTGGGGCAGAGATGGTCACAAATGCAGCTGATCAGCTTCCTGCTGCTCTAGCCCTACAGCATTCCTGCTAAAAATAGTCCAGGATAGGCTCTTCCTAGCACATTCCTCTGTCAGAAGAAATGAGCTCCATACCACAGAGAAAAAGAGTGAGCAGGACCAGGATGTGTCTGAAAACTGTGTGTGAGGAATGAGAGGGGCTTACAAGGTGTGTGGGGAAAAGAGGACCCCTCTTCTCTTTTGCCAGTGTGTGTTGACTCTTGTCTCTTTTGCAGGATGACTCACTTGTCACCATGTGGCCCATTCCCCACAGCTCTGCTGATGGGCACTTAGCCTTTTGCTCACTGTGGAACTGTTACATGGGGCCTTTCCCACCGGTGTAGTCATGGTATGGGCTTGTCTGGGCCTTGGCCCGAGGAATGGAGAAATCATTTTGGGGATCAATGGTCTGAAAAGGAAACACAAAAGTCTTTACTTTTCAAAATCAGAGAGAATTAATAGAATAAAGCTTATAAAAAATTGGGAAAAACAAACAAACAAACCAAAAAGAAATAGGTGAGAGACAAACAGAGCTGAAGGCTTCCTGAGCATGTGATAACTGGGGCTGAGAATCATGGCAGAACAAATCTGTAATGGCGACATGTCACCAGAGGACACGTGGGGACATGATGTGAACTATGCTGTGGTCTTATGGAGGACTGTTGAATGGACATGGTGACACACAGGCTGCCTACTCTTGATCTGCACTGCAACTTCCAGTGATTGTTGGTGGGCATTCAGGACATTCAGGGCATGGGTTGCAGAAAGGAATGTGACCTAATGAGGAAAGGTCACAGTCTACTGCAGGAACAGTACTCAAAGAAAGGACTTCTTACGTGATGTCAAATCCAGAATTACTGAAAACAACAACCTCAGACTTTGCCTCAGGCCCCTCTTGTCTTCCCATGTCCCTGTACATATCAGAGCTCCCTCCCCCCAGCCACAGATACCTCCATGAACACGTTACGGTATTGCCTGGCTAAATGTAAAGCTCCTGTCTGCCTCCATAAAGCCTGCTCTAGGTCCATCTGTCTTCACCCCTTCTTCCTGAGGATGTAAACAGTAGCCTACATGTTGTGAAAAAGCTAAAGTGGTGTGTGAACTTACCTTCATCTGAAACTGAGAAGAGTATGGGGAGTAGCTGTTGTCTCCTGTGTTTCCTGAATCACGAGACAAAAGTAGGCAAAAGTTAGTGAGTTAATGTTATATGGTAGCCTGAAAATACCCTGTGAGGGAGACTCACAGGGCCTGTGGCTATGTTAGCAGCTGGTTGAGACTAATCAAACTATGCAGTATGCAGGCAGGAATGGGTTAAAATCCACAGGTGGGTGACTTATTAAATATTTCCTTATGAAAGCAGGAATGAATGGTATTGTAAATAACAGGACATAGGTGGCCTTGGAGTTTAGACACCTCCTGTTGCCTCACAATTGCTGTCATCATCACCAGTCAAATCCCTCCCATGTGCATGTGCAAGACCCCCTCTGTGGTATTCTCTGGGAGAGCACAGCCTTTTTCAGCTGTTCTTTTACAAACCTGGAGGTTTGACTCCAGGGATAAATGTGATCTCAATAGCAGATCCACAGGGAGTGTAGTCACATCTCCTACACATAGTTATTGGAAGCCTCAATTGATAAAACATGTTGCTTTGTCCAAGTAGGCATGAGAAATGCCTACAGAGAAATTTCTGGTTTTCATACAGAAAAGTAAGACCTTCTTGCCTCCTTTTTATATGAAGGGTTCATTTCTAAGTGGATAATGGGAACCATACCAGAATTGGGAATAAATAATCTCCAAGGAATAACCTGGAGAGGTCTGAAGAGCTGGAGCATTGCTAAGAGACAAACAAAACCTCAATTTTTACACAAACTTTCCAGACATAATAGTCATAAGGACTTATGTCTCAGCCCTGATACGCAGTAAGTCTCCTAGTCAGTCACTCCTACATATCTTTGGCTTTTGTATTGGTCTTTACTCTTTTCCCTCTTGTCTGCAGATTAATTTTCACTTGCATTTCTGAAGTTTCACCAGTCAGAAACTTTTTCCTACCTCTAAATAATCCATCATCTTCAAAACCTTTCTTGTAGCCCTCCTACACCTTTCAGCTCATTAGTGGTGCATGTGCGCTTAGGACTGGGGAACAGTGGAGGCATTCACTTCACCATACCTTGCACAAGTTCATCTTGGGTGTAGGCACGGTTGTCCACTCCAGTTGTCTGCTTTATGAACTTGGGTTGGCAGAAGTCATTTTCTGGAGGGTAGTCCTCTAGCTTCAGAGGGGCAGTGAGGAAACAAATTTCAGGCACGATATACATTATCAGGAAGACCCATCCATTGGACACCAGAGCAATGGCCACAACAGGATCATCCCAGTTTTTTTTGTTTAAGGCTGTGTTGCCTTTTGTGAGCATAGTGATCCACACTACCCAAATGGCAATGGAGAACAGGACAGTGACAAAGATGTGTGCCCCATGCCTCTTCCAGCTTTTGTATGACCCACAGAATGTGAACATGGAAACCAAGAAGATCAGAGCCATCAAGAAGAGCACGTAGATCAAAAGCATGACAAAGTCTTTGTTAGTCTTCTCCGCAGACATAGTCAAAAAATCCTCTCTCTGGTTTACTAGCATGGTGACTAAATACTCAATATTGATCACAATTTGTACCAGGGCAAAGGAAACAATGAGGAGCAGCAACACCAGCCAGGAGAATGGCTTTCTTCCTCTCACTAGCTTGTTGAGATTGCACGCATGGGCGAGGAGGCATGAGAAGCAAAGAGCAAAGATTACTCCAAATAGGAAAAAGCGAGTAGGGCGAGTCCTTTCATTGAGTTTAATGATGAAGGCAAAAGTGAGACCAAAAACGCCGAGTGTGCCTAAGAGAAAGAAGAAATAGACAGAGAGCATGTGCCGCTTGCTGTTGTCTTGGACTTTGCAGATGAGAAAGAAGAGTGAGCAGATGAGGAAAATGGTGACGAGGATGCCAGCCGCAGCCAGTGACTCCAGGACAATCCCCCAGGCCTCCTCCATGTCACAAAGCAGGTAATAGCTTTCATTGATGCTGCCACAACCTCGGGGAGGTGACGTCATCCTCTCGCCTCCTTGGACAAACTCCTCACAAAACGTTTCCCCAAAGCTGTAGAAGCAGAAAAGACACAGGCTGTGATATCCTAGAATCCTAGAACAGGTTGGGTGGGAAGGGACCTTAAAGATCACCTAGTTTCAACCCCACTGCAGGGACGCCTTCTACTAGACTAGGTTGCTCAAAGCTCCAGCCAACCTGGCCTTGAACACTGCCAGGGATGGGGCATCCACAGCCTGGGTGCTGCCAGCAGTGGGGAAGGAGAGGCAGGGCAGACTCCCATCCCCACCCCACTATTAAGGACACCACAGTGCTAAGGACATGGGGCTGTGGGAGCAAAGCCATCCCTTTGTTTGGCATCAGCTCTCTATCAAGGTCAAGACAAGCCCCTTAGCAGGTAGCGATTCACTTTGCTTGTCCTCTGCACCATGCCTGGGAGCGCGGGGAGCAGGGAGAAGATGAGCTTTCACAGGTTTTGGTGCCACACAGCACAAAGCCTGAACTGCCCTGTCACTTTTGTGATACAAGGGCAGCTGTTAGTCATAATACAGTTTACACTCTTTTGGTAAGTTCAGACAACATATGCACCTTGTGCCAGTGACGTTCACAGATGAGCAATGCAGAACAGGAAACTCATTACTCTGTTTCTTTTCACTCTTTTGCTTTCCCTGCTTATCTCTGGTTTATGGGTATTAATGAAGGGGAACCTTAACTGCCTTTTACCCTGCAGATAGCTAACCTAGGTTCCTCCAGCATAGCTCTTCTCACTCCAAATTAAATAGGAAATATATGCCACCAACCATGATCCCCTAAACTCATATTCCTCCTAGCAAAGTAGTAAGAACCATCCCAAAGACCTCAGTCCCCTCCACAGCTTTACGCTGGCTGGAAACCTGACATGTCAGAGGTAACACATGAGAAGTAACCATCGTATTACTTCTTGAGGGGTCCATAAACCGAGGATGGACAAGGTCTTGAATGCGCCCAGCACATTCCTGCTGTCTCGTCATGACTAGCTCAGTGCTTCCTGCGTAAGCCTGGCTTAAGTCTGTCTTGCAGGAGATAAGAGTGCTGTTTAGATGAGCTCTGCCCATTGCCGAGGGGAATAAAGTTTGTTATTTCCTTGGGAGCCTGAAGCATGTGAAGAAAACACTGCACAAGGACGTTAGGCACTTTCTAGGCACCAAATTGCTCAGTTAAGATCAGGTATCTAAAATCTATCAAAACTGAAGTTTAGATACAATATTGCCATAAAACTTGGAGGAATATGGCTGTAATGATGACCCACACTGGAAAACCAAGGGCTTTCTTTTCTGATATATATAAAGAAAAAATAAACCTTGCAAAATTTATTCTTCAGTGCTTGCCATGCTGTTTGCCTGGATTTTTTCCCCTACAGAACAATGTACTGCAGTTATGAGGATGATTCTAAAACCCTTCCAAAAGATTTTAGGGAGTATAGGTTGAATCTTCAATAAATGGCAGTTGATCTAATCAGGGAATGAATGAAGGGGAAAAATATCACTTTTTCACTCTCAGCTCCACATATGCCTCAATGTGACCTGCTTATAAATGCTGGAATGTTTTCCCAGCTTTTAACCTTGCTGTGTAAAAGGAGATGCACAGCTCCTCAAATAGCTGGCTACAATAAAATGCAAAGTATTTAAATATGTGGGATCTCTGGACTCGTGTGGAGAAAACAGAATTAATGAATAACACATGCAGGTGTTTTCAAAAATCATTGCTCACAAAATTTGGGGTATAGCTGAAAGATATCTGGATATTTGTGAGTAATCAGTAATGAACCATTCTGAAATCCAGATAGGAAATGCTACAATTTTATCCACAGACATTTACTGTTGATCAGATTAGCTTTGTCTGTTCACAGCTCCATAGACTGGTGCCCACTGTTGGGGCAGGTGGAGAGTCCAGAGAGCCAGGGTGAGACCCTAGGGTAGCACAGAGCACACCCATAGCCCTGGGTCCTGACTGGTGCTTACTGCAAGTGGTACTTGCCACAGCCAACTGCCACAGCCCTTGGAACAATTAGGATGGAAAGGACCTCACTGCCTTGGAGAGCTGGGCCACTTGTGCTTATTTCTGCTCCCTTTTCTTTTTTTTTCCAGTGTAGATGTTCTATGCGGCATGAAGAGTCTCTGCCCGGTCTTCTAGGTGAGTGTTGCCCCCCAGAAGCTGAGTCTTCTCATCCAGCACCTACAGAAGTGTCTGCGATTCCCAAGAGGCTCTGTAGTCAGTGCAAGGGAGCCTCTGCTGTTGTTACTTCACAGTTCACCCAAAATCACAGCTCTTGCTTTAGGGCTGAGTTCTCCTCCCTCCAGCCCGAGCCTACTCTCTCATTGATACTTGTGTATCAAATGCACCCATACAGTCACAAATTTCAAACCGTTTCCCAGGAAAGTCTGCCATAACTCCCCCACCTCCAGAAGGCTTTCTCTGTTGGCTGTGGCATGCCATGCCCCTGCCCTCCCACCCCCTGCATGCCCTCCCTCCCCAGCCACAGGAGGCAGCTCTGCCCTGGATCCTGTATAGGACATTACCTGAGTCCTGCTGGAGAAGGCAGCAGGGAGGCTCTGGCTAGAAGAGCTTGAGTTCCCTCCAAACCAGTAACACGGTCACCTTCTCTTTTTCAATCCTGGCCGAGAAGCAGCCCTGTGCTCGCCCTCCTTGGGAGCTTTAACAGCTGGAGGCTGGGGAGGTGTGGCTGAGCACGCCTGTTCCAGTTCCACCGCCTCTCCTCTCCAGCAGCAAGGGCTATGAAAATACGGTCCCAGCGCCAGGAAATGAAGTCAGGCCTCCTGACGTCAGTGGGGCACTCACCCCTGCATTGGGGTGGAGATGTTGCCGCTGCCTGGCCCAGCCCTGCGACAGGACCGAATGCTGCTCAGCCAAGCACCTGATAAGGTGCTCCCCTGCCCAACTCCAGGCACCCATGGGTGGGGACTGTAGCTATGAATAGCAGTGTGTCCCCTCCCTGCTCCAAGCCTTTTGTCTCTTTACATGCATTCTTGCCTGATAACTGCTTGCAAGGTGGAAGATGAGATTGTAGGATGCAAATGGACCCACAGCACCTAGAATCAGAGCGGCTTCAAGCCCGGCTTCAGAGACAGTTTACTCAGGGTTCTTGCTGGGCGCTACATTTTGGCACAGGGATTCATGTGCTCCAGTCATCCCTTCCACCTCTGCCAGTGGGAGCCATGTGCACCTTTCCTGAAAAGGGCAGTTTGCCTTTGCTGGCACAGTTTTGTCTGCTCACAAGCACTGAGTCACTTTGTCCAAACTGCTGGCCTCAAATGTTAATGAACGAAGGTGATGACACATTCCCCCTTACCCTACATTGTGCCTCTGGCATGACACACCCATAGGCACAATCCCATCCACAGGCTTGAGTATCTCCAGCATGTTCATGACTCCATCTGTTATTTTAAATATTACTCACTGGGAGTATTTTATTATCCTGCTTAAGGAATTGACATCAGGGTCTGTCCACACCAAGCACTCGGTCACTACGGACAGCCACTGAACCTAGAAATCCCTCCCACTCCTGGAGGTTGTGCTCCTTCCCCAAACCAGGGGAGTTTTGCCCGTGTTTTTTTGCCCATGGTTGTCACACCACGTTAATTTTATTTATTTGTTCATTTGTTTTAGGGCCCCTGGTTTATTTCTGAGTTCTGCTCCCTTTTGAACGCCACATGTGGAGGTCGCAACAAAACCCATACAAGACAGCTTTCTCTTGCACACCCCATAAAAGTACATGAGTGCCTGCAGGGATGAGAGCTTACTGAGTGAAAGGCAACACTCAGTGCTGTCACTGCCGGGTGGGCCGTGCTGAGCCCTGGAACAGTTCCTCCTGTCCTTGCTGCTTTCATTTCAGTGTAAAATCCTGAGGCTTCTTAGGAAAAGACGTCAGGTTTCTTTACATGAAATTAATCTTAACTTTAAAGTAGGTCTCCCAGGCTTAGTGAGCCAGCCAAGAAGGAGGCAGTTGTTAAAAATGAGAGGAGGAAAGGAAAGTGAAGAGTTTAGCACCAGCTCAGTGGAACCCAACCTGTCTAGGAAAACATCCCAAGAGGCTTTCAAAGGTCACTAGTCACTGCCCGGCCTATTTGCATCTTGTCAGAGCACATTATGGCCTGCCAACTACTTCCCTACATTTACATAGACACACAAAACCCCATGGAAGGCAGTGTGTAAAATTAAATGGGGGGGGGTACGGGGACGGACAACATGGGACAGAGGATGAACAAGATATAAGAAAAGTAACACTGGCATTTTCCAGAGTACCTGAGAAATCCTTGAGAGTCAGTCATCAAACACACCCTGTACCTTAAAAGGGTTAATAAATGGGGATACGTTTAAAAAACCCCAAACAAACAATAAACCATCCCAAGTGACTCAGGAAGCCAAGTGCTGCTGACTCATGGTAGGTAGCCTGAGAGATGGTGCCCATGGCCCTCATGCTATGCCAAGGAGTGAGAGGAATCACTGGTCTACGTGGACAAGTACAAACAGCACAACAGGTGAGATCATTACCACCTCAATTTAAGGATGGGATGCAACTTGCAGATAGGGGCACCTAAATTTAGATGTCTGATGGTTATTACCTAAATGTAAGGTGAGTGTCTCAGCTCACAGACAGCCAAAAGTTCAGAAGGGCTGGCCCGGCAAATGTGCCAGGTGCCTACTGCTGTGTGCATTGAAATACTCCCAGGCGTGGTTACCTGGATTACCTGGGGCCTCACCTTAATTGCTTAATATGCACACATCAGCATATAAGTGTCATTTGAGATGCCACAGGGCATCCTGCTCAGCTTCCAGGGACCACTCCAAGAGCACATGGGTCGCCTGTACCAGATCTGGCAGTCCTGTGCAGATGGTTTTTATACCTTTAGGCATCTCAAATCACATTTGTAAGAGCAATTTGTGTACTGAATCTCCACTGTTTATTTAGAACTGAGATACCCAGTTTATATGTAGGTACCTAGATGCAGACATCCGTGATCTGGACTTTATTCTGGTGCACCAGCATAGACAAA